AGCCTTTTTTTCATATAAATAACGATAATTACTTTGAAAAAAAAGAATGAAACTAACTAGCGATATGAAATGGTGTTTAAGTGATTCCTAAAGTCCTTTTAAATGTAATTACACAAACAATAATAAATGTTTCCATACAACAAGGTTATATTTTACCATTTTTGGGGGGACTTCAGCCCCAAAGTGCGTCGCACCGGCCAGAGTAAAAGAGGTTTTCTCTATTGCCAAGTATCAAATTGTTTTAAAAAATATTTGAATGGAATGAATCGATTACGAAAATGAATAAATAATAATCAAACAAATAAAATTTTAATTAAAATTAAAAATATTTTTTTCTATTTACTATAGTAAATACTGTAGTATTTACTATTTTCTCGACTGTTAATAATATGTATTTGTTGTGGATATTAAGATTCACCAAAACCAATCACATTTTTAATATTCACAAATATGATTTATGTATACTTATATATATATATATATCGGCGTTTATTAAATATACTACGTGTATTTTTGATATAGCTTAATTTTCAAATATATTTTTTGTGAATTTCGACATCGGCGGTTTATTATAAATATACTACTTGGCTTTTAATAAAATAGTTTTGCCATTATTTAGTCTATTTTTGACCACCATCACGGACCATCTTCTTCCTTTGTAAGAATATAACTTGAGGAATATAACGTGTATTTTTCATATAGGTTAATTTTCAAATATACTTTTTGTGAATTTCGACTTTACTTTTCGATATAAAATCACTTTAAATGCATGCAAATGGCACAAATCCGTTGATATGTTTCGAATACAGTTACAACAAGCTCACAATTTTCTGTTTCCATAAAGGGATTAATTATTTAAAGTGATGAAATGTATTTTTTGTGATAAACCTAATACATATTGATCAATTAATAGGCAAGAAGTCTGTTGATTAATAAATATAACACATAACATATTAATATATTCATAAATTAAGTAAGGGAATGGCTAAGAAGACTTTTGTCACTGTCACTGGACCGGTAATTTGTCACTGTTCCAATGGTGTCACTGGAACAGTTGGAACAGTGACAGATTTTCCATGGAAAATCTGGAACAGTTGGAACAGTGACAGATTTTCCATGGAACGTCACATCCCTACGTATAGCCTTAACGGGGATAGGAAGGGAAGGACCCAAAAAAAAAAAAACACAGGTATGGAGTACTGATATTTCTAACAAGCGGCGCCCTTTGAGTGAATGCTGCAATGCCCTGCTTATCTCCAGTACTTAGAATGAAGTCATATCTGCAGCACTACCAAGTATGCGGCGCTCTTAGATATATTTTTATATGCACGTAAACCTCTGAGTGTCTTTTTTTGCTTAAAATCGAAAACTTTATTGCCCTCTCCCCCAAACATTATGATGGCGCACTCAGCGCCATAAAACTCCTGGGCACCCCTCTCGGCAACCCTGGTCATACCTCCCTACCGTGCACCCTCTTCCACATCCCAATAAATTGCTAATAGTTGTGTTCCCTGTAACTATATTTAAAAAAAATAAATAATTTTCCCAAAATGGTGTCTCAACATAGAGGATTGACCTATATACAATAAATATACCCGAAATACAGAAATGTGTACTTTAAGATTTAGCTCCATTAAAAATAGACTTTAGAAACAGCCCAATTTTGCCAGAATACAATTTCTACTCAAAGTAGAGTGGCAAGTGAATAATGTGAGATAGGCACACCAAACATATGCTTAAATGTTTTAGCTATTTGAATGCTGCATTATTAATCAAGGAAATGACGGCAGTAGCTTGTGCTATCATGAAACAGCGCTCTTTGAATCGAGATATAAATAGACGTTTAGATTGCTCAGTCATTAGCTTATCCACTAATCTTGAGAGCCATAACTATCTTTAAATATACCTGATTTCCTAAACACTGTCTGCGAGCAGGCTCTGAATTGTAAAGCAGTGTAATCAAACAGATAAAAGTTGAAATAAAAATTATATTTTCCATAATTAAAATAAAATGATAAATAATTATGCAGTTGTCTACGTAAATAAAAAATTATGTTTTATTCATAATTGTGGATTGATGGTTGACTGTAGCGAATAATTAAAGAGAAGGATGGTTGAGGCTATCAGTTAAAATAAAAAATAGCAAAAATAAATAATAATATTTATTTTTACATTTGTCGACGTTTCGGTCCGAAGTTCATTTCTTCATCAGGGATGAGAAAAGAACTAGATAACAATAGGTGTGCGAAGCTATAAACATTGAATAAAAAAGAATTAAAATTAAACAGATGAAAGGTATATACTAAAAAATATAGGTAGAAAAACTTAAAGTAAAATGAAATAGGTAAAATAATAAAAATAACAGAGAACTAAGAAATAAATAATAATAACGGCTACAAAGTGCGGACTAATGAAATAAACATAATCAAAATAAGGTAACATAAGAACTAAAAATACTAATCATAGAATAAAATGTAAAACTGAGAAATGGAATATGAAGTTATATAAGGAAATAATAGATTTAAATAGAAAATTCAGACATTGTAAGTTCTATCAAAATATATCGACAGCGTATAAGAGAATAAAAAGTTAAAATAATGTAAAAAAATGGTCTAGTTAAAAAAATTATTTTAACTTGTTATTCTCTTATATGTAGTCAGTATATTTTGATAGATTTTACAATATCTCAATTTTCTATTTATATCTATTATTTCCTTATGTAACTTCATATTCCTTTTCTCTGTTTTACATTTTATTTTAAGATTACCATTTTAGTTCTTATGTTACCTTATTTGGATTATGTTTATTTCATTGGTCCGCGCTTTGTAGCTGTTATTATTATTTATTTCTTAGTTCTCTGTTATTTTTATTATTCTACCTACTTTATTTTACTTTGATGTTCACACTATCTACTTCATTTACTTTAAGTTTTTCTATCTACATTTTTTAGTCTATACCTTTCACCTTTTTAATTTTTTGATGAATAGTTAGCACTAACTGAGGAAATATTTAATTTAAGTAATTAACAATTGCCTCACTGTAAACTACATGAAATTTTCCTCAAATGAAAATAGAATTCGTCATTCTCAAAACAATTTGGCTAAATAATTAATATGGACTTAAAGCTTATTAAATGAAGAAGTTTTTCTAAAAGTGGTGTGTCTGTAGTACAGTTGGATAATGATAAAAGTCATCTTTAAATGGCTAATAACAATGACAAGCTCTATTTCATTTGAAGAAAATTTTATCTAGTTTACAGTGAACTAATTGTCAATTATTTAAATTAAATATTTCATCAGTTATCGCTTCCTATTCATAAAAAAAGACATAACTTAAAAAATCCTAAACTTAGATTTCCTACTTTCCTGATGAGAATTAGCCCATTGTTTATATGGATTTTTAGTAGGTCTTGAGGTCTGTTATTAATCCTATAAAAAGTTTCCTCTACTTACGAGACACCCTGTATATATATATATATTCTGTAGTTTGGGTCATTTAGTATTTTCCAACTAATTTTAGCTTATGTTTTCGTTTTTTCTTAAACTGTATAAACAACACAACTTGTAAAATTCACACATTAGAAATCATGAAATCATGACATGAACAGATTTGAAGAGATACTGCCCAGTGGTAGCATTCCCTATTTAATTCTAGGTGAGAAGATCGCGAGGCCATCTTCTTTTCAGACGCCTAGGGAGATTATCAGGAATCTAGGTGAAGAAGCAAGGCTGGAAACAAGTGGATTCGGATGGGACTGGAGTTCATCATGAAATGATAGGTATCTGGCTCGGGCTAAATCAGCGGCATTTGGGGCATTAAGGTCTTTATGAATGGTTTTATTTGTGACAAAACATGAGGCATTAAGGATTTTACGAAGGATTTTGGGTTGTAAGGATTTGATACGATAGGAAATCGATGGAAGTCGAGCCCCAATGCTCAACTCAGTATGTCCATATAGGCCTTATTATGGTTAAGTAGATGAGTCTTTTGTAATTAATTGCAAGTTTAGAGCGTTTGTCTAGTAAGTGTTGGAGCAGTCGGAAATGCCGAGCAGTTTTTTGTCGTTTCAGTCTTGTATGCGGATTCCAAGTGAGACGAAAAGTTGAATATCATTGAAGGATATTGTAGGGCAAGAAGATGTAGGTTTACGACGAACTATGAAGGTAATTTGATGGGATTTATTGGAATTTATTTTTATTCTCCAATTATGACACCATTCTTCAAGGTTTGTGAAATGTAATTGGAGGTTTTGGGATGCAATTAAAGAGCCATTATTAACAGATAGGATACAAGTGTCATCTGCATAGGTGGTGATGACCGTGTTGGGATGGGTTGGGATATCAGCTGTATAAACTGTATAAAGGATAGGACTGAGGATGCTCATTTGAGGATATGTTTTCCTTAAAATGCTATTTTGAATTTTAATATTGGTCCCACCGATAAAAAATATTAAAAATACCCCCACCCGATAGTGTTGCCCCTATATAGCAAGCGCCTATGTATTTATCTTTTTTACACAGTAGCAAAATCCTATTTACAGCAATAAAAAATACTAAACTTTCAAATCTACTGAACTATGAATGTGTTTTCATAACAGTATCTCTCTCTATTCAAATAACAATATTTTATGAAATGTTTTAAAATTCGTTCTTTTCAAGTCCAAGCTTTTTGAACCATTAACAAATCTTTGAATTAGTAACAATATATATATATATATATATATATATATATATATATATATATATCCGACCTTGGCAGAAGATGACTGTTTCACTTGATCAATGTGATAAAAAAAAAAGATATATATATATATATATATATATATATATATATATATATATATATATATCTTTTTTTTTTTATCACATTGATCAAGTGAAACAGTCATCTTCTGCCAAGGTCGGATCTTTGTTGAGGAATCGACAAGGGCCTAACAAGGGGGTGGGAGGCGAATAAAGTCCCACGGTAAGTCTATAAAGCCAGCCGCCGTACCAGATACAGTCAGAGTAAACATCGCTCATGGCACCGCCTACTCTAATGAAGGTGAGTATTAATTTGTTTGTTTATTTTCATAAGTGAAATTTGTTTTGTTCATCATAACGTGCCTGAAGACGAGTTTCGTCGAGGATGGATTGAAATAAAAGATGTACCTGGTGGGGAGGGTAATTCGTACAATAGGGTACAATTTGTCGTTGGAAGTGCGGTATTATACAATCATACATAGTACGGCCAAACATATGACAAATATCTGCCAAAGGAGCGGCTACACTACCCGATCTATAAGGATTATTGAACACGCAAATGTTTGCAATTTGTATGACTGTATAAAATAAAATGTGGAATTTCCATATTTTGTTTTAAAAAAATGATTTCCTAAAAGGGGATAATTTTATTTAAAACGATATTTTATTTTTCTAAAACATATTATATATTATACTGATTTAAATTGTGATGAAAAAATGCATGGATCAAGTAAATACCACTTTTTTTTTTTTACTTATTTCTCCCCTTTCTTCTTTTTTCATGGAACTTAAATTTTTAAAAACTGAAATGTTTTCCTTTCTTCAGTACGTTTCTCGGATACCACCTCTAAAGTTGTGTGATGGATTACGGTTTTCTTGTGTCTGTGGATTTTTATAGTGAGACAGTTAGTTCATAAATGTTTACAGTATATGCTGTCAATATGTTTATATAGTTCAAAAAATTTTACAACAATACATAGCTTATGAATTGTGTTAATATTCTACTCAAAAACTGTAAAGTAATTTATTATTTAGTAAATCTTATTCTGAAATTCAAGTGAAAACTGGAATAGTAATTTTGAAACCGTGCATTATACATTGTTTTTATAACTCAAACGTGTTTTAATGTTGTGCTATACCCAGATTTGATCTAAAATATATGCATACCGATAAATAATTGGATTTTATATAATATAAAATAATTGGAATGTATTTATTTTATTATTTATTAAAATTTATTTCCAGTAACTTGGCGAGAATTAGGCCATCAATGTTCTCCTAAAGAAAGGACATTTGTTCTTTCAAATAGGTACTGTATTTCGATGTCTTCATTTATCGAATAAACAAATCTAGGTAATTCTTTTTTATTTTAGTAGTCTTGAAATAAACAAAATAATTAAAAAGAAGAAAACCGACAACAGAAATAACTATAAATCTCGAGCTAATTTACTTGAATATCTACTTAAATACATTGGTTGATTGTTAGTGAAATTGGCTCCTCTAAATATTTAAATTTACACTATAAATATTTAAGTGTAGTTAGTTGCAGTCTCTGCAGTTAGCTGCAGTCTCTAAGAGAAGAGAAAATTACTGCCTAATTAAAATTATTATCTCAGAAACGACATAGGAAATGAATAGCATTGTAAAGCTCTATAGGAACCGAATCTCAACTAATAAATTGTACAGTTTTCATATGTTTTGGAAAGAGGGGACTTCATCTCGAAAGCTTTTTTTCGGTACATACGAAATTACTTTGGAAATAAAAAAAACTAACTATCTGTAGTTTCAATTCAATTAAAATTCAATTCAATTAATATATGATGATCTCCCTGCTCGTATCTTTTCATAGATTCAACATAGACCCTAGATCAAGAAGTTCGTTTGAGATCCTCAGCAGTTCCATGGAGGTTATGTCTGAGGTCTAATTTATTCGGCCATAGAATATTCCTCTTTTGATTCAAATTCAATATATTGAAATTCCAAATTATATCATCTCCTAGAATTATTTGAATTTTCAAACTTTTTAATAACGAAAATTTATAAAACCAAAACTTAAGTGGCAATTTCGTTTATGCGGAGAACTGTAAAAAAACTCTAGGTTGACTGTTCTTTTTTTTTTTCTTTTTTTTTCTACCCCCCAGGAATTTCTTGATTACAAAATACAGTATATATTAATAGTATATATACATAAATTTTCAATTTCCTTTGATTGCCCAAGGGCATTTTAAGGTAAGAGGGCTATGCACGCTGTATGCGTTCTTTGCATCTGTGGCCAGAGGCCTTTTATTATACTACTGGGCGTGGAGGGACCGCCCTGCATTAATTTATTATTTATATTATAGTTAGTGGGTGTGAACTACAGAGTCCAAACCCCTTCCCTCGGCGAGAACATCTACCAAGGAGACTTTACCTTGCCACCTCCCAGGCCTGGGCGGCGGTACTATTTCCGGGTTAGAACAGATCCTCAGCCCATCGAAAAATTTGACTTGCCTTCGGCCTATGAACTCAGGCACCGATGGGAGCTGAAGCTCCTCTCGGATCTTTACATTCTTTGCCCTTTGCAGGGTGGTACCTCTGACTATTCGCCGAGGTTGACTGTTCACCATCATATTACAAACATATTCATACCAATTACAGGCGAATCTACGGGAGAGAGAGAGGCTTTCGTAGCGCCCCCAATATAGTAAAATATAACCATGTTTTATTAAAAGAATTATCTCTAAAAGTATTATTGTTCGTCTAGTTACATTTAATAGTACTTAAAGAATCACTTAAACACCATTTCAAATAGGTAGTTAATTTCCTTCTTTCTTCCTAAGTAATTATCCTAATATATACATACAAAAAAAAAATCTTTCGGGCTGAAGCCGTACCCCAAAATTAAATCCGGAATCCGTTAGTGGTATCAATATGTAAGACGATGAGTTTCGAAACCAGTCCAATAAACTTTCGATTTAGAAAAATTCATGTCACATTTACCTGTTGTATTTTTAATGTAATACAGTTGTAAATTTCATTAAAATAAAAAAAAAATAAAAATTCAAGACACATTAAAACCTTATTATTTTACAAAAATTAGCCCAGGTAATTCCCCGAGTTTGAAATCATTTTCTTATAGGACGAAGACAATTTTTATGAAAATAAAAACATTTTGTAAAAAATAAATAAAAAATGTTAACAATAATAATTCCAATTTTGATTTTACTAAATATTTTACTTTATAATTATAATCGAATTTTCCAATGAGCACTCAAATAAGTGAAAAAACTGTAACTTATCAATTAATAAGATTAAAGAATACAATTTGTATAAAAGTATGCCTGTATTTAAGTTGCTACTTTGATTAACTTAAGTTTTCTTTTATTTATATGTATATTTAATTTTAGTATTATAATTTTTCTGTTGTAGTATTTAATTTATTTTTATTTATTGTACATATAGTGTGAATGAACTCCCATATTATTGTTACAAATGCCCTTAGATGAGACAGAATATAATATTATTCAATAAAGAAATGTTTAAAAATTAAAAAATATACAACAGTAAGTAATTAAGTCCGATTTGAAATTTCATAGGTAAAACAGATAAAAAATCTTTTAACTAGGAGAAGTGGTGTGATTCGAATTCACGAAATGTTTTTATTTGTCCTCCCTTTTCTCGCCTTTTGCGGTGCTGTGCACACGCATTGGCCCGCTCGGCCACCTCGCCGCTTTTGACAGGTTTCTTTTTTTAGTATCTTGTTATCTATAAGGGAGCAGTGGCTTTCCGACTAAAGCCCCCTCCCTCAAAATGGTAAAATATAACCATGATTTATGGAAAAAATATTTTTAAAATATCTCTTAAACTATTATTTATTGTTCGTGTGATTACATTTAATATTACTTCAAGAATCACTTAAACACCATTGCATATAGGTAGTTAGTTTTTTTTATTATTATTTCCAAAGTAATTATCGTATATATGGAGAAAAAAAAATTCGGGCTGAAGTCCCCTCTTCCCAAAATTTAATTCTGGATCAGGTAGTGTTTTAGGGTAATTACAGCAACAACAATGGTTTTAGGGATGAAATGTTTATATTTGTTTTTGAAACTTTAGTACGTTTAGTAGTTAGTTTTCCCCTTACTTGTATTTTAGGTTACACTGGCCGAGGGCAAGAGCGGGGGGATTATGCTGAGTTAAAAGTCCCACCGATCACCGGAATTTGAACTCGTGATTATTTTCCATCTCTAACTTCGGTTATCAGGTTGCCAGGTAACGTGCAGTGCTGTGCACACGCGTTAGCTCGCGAGATGGCGCCTCTATAGTTTGACTAATCGTACAAAGAATACTCGTAGAAACAAATATGGACTAATAACAAAAACAATTTTCCATTTTGGAATGCTTTAGCCCGAAAGTCTCTCTCCAACGTTAAATCCACGAGTGGTACCTTATACCTGACCAGTTCCTCCTTCTATATTAATATTATGCTATTAATTTGACTAGTGGCTACATTTGCCTTTATACAATTATCATCTCAAAAAATTTTAAGGAGGATAAAAGTTCACTAGATCAATCGGAAACATACTATGGTAAGGCGCACAACGGCTACAAAAAGGTCGCAATGCTTTGTTGCCGGAATAGAAATCAAACTTAATTTAGCCCTGTATATTGTTAGTATATTGCAATTGAAAATATTTGTCTAGATTGTCAATCAGTTATAACACATCACGATACAAAGCCCTACGTATGTTTATTCTCTGCCTCGAAAGCATTTTAATAATGTTTTTAATGATGTAATACAAGGCAATTCGGCAAACGTTTCTCGAGTTTGTTTTAATTTCACAGTATTAATTCCACGAGCTAAAGTAGTTGCCACATGAACTGTTGTAACAATGTGGGAAGGCTTATTCGTAAGTTCCCAAGTCCCATTTCGTCCTTGCGATCCTTTACCACACCTAAAGCTATTTTCACTTGCCGGCTTATGATTTATAAGAACACATACGAATACTAAACATATACACATATATATGTATATATATATATATATATATATATATATATATATATATGTATATAATAATAATAAATAATATTATTAATACACAGCCAAATTGTAAAAGTCTGTAACTGAAATTTTATTATAAAGTTAAGTTTCGACTTTATATGGTCAATCTTTTCCTACTGTATATTCAGAAATAAAAACACAAAACGTTATTAAAAGCAATATATCTTTGAATTAAGTTTGTCAAAATAATGGAACGGAAAATTCATTCGATAAAATAAGAAAATTGTTGCTTTGATAATTTTAGTTAATAATAATAATTTTAGTTTTCGCAATTATTTATTTATGTTTTGTTGCTTCTACCATGTAGGTTCACTGGAGACACATTTTACGTCCACTCTGTTATAGAGTTTTTTACAGCTTTTACATTGTCGAACTAGTTTTCTTTTAGGCTTCGTGCCATATCCTATTTCGTTCTTATATTTTTAAATATAGAGCAGTCTTAGACGATATTTTCTACTGTTCTTTGGAACATTATGGTGCATCCAGCCCTTTTAGCAGATAGGTATATGAAAACCCACAATGCAATCCTGAATCGGCAGAGGACTCTCTTCTTTTCTAAAATCGTTTAGAAGTTTTTGATTTGGTGCAGGGGCGGATCTACGGGGAGGAGGCCTTGGGGCTGAAGCTCCCCGACCCTCCTTTCCCCCCAAAAAATGGAAAATATAACTATGTTTTATGGAAAAAAAAATTAAAACATTTTCTCTTAAAGCAGTATTGTTTGTGTAATTACATTTAAAAGGACTTTAGAAATCACTTAAACACCATTTCATACAACAGGTAGTTAGTTTCTTTCTTTTTTTTTTTCAAAGTAATTAAGGTTTTTTTTATAAAAAAAAAAAAAAAAAGCTTTCGGGCTAAAGCTCCCCCAAAATTAAATCCTGGATCCACTAGTGATTTGGTGGAACACTGTGGAACAGTGGATTTTTATTTCTTCATTTATATAATTTTTGTTGCCATATATTCTGCAACATTTGCCACACTTTCTTCTTTATATGTTGCAAAAATATTTTACTGGGATTTAGTTAATTATAACAACAGTATTTCTTTCTCGCATTCTCGCCATATTGGCTGCTATGGCTGTCTGTTCATTTCCGGTGATTCTACAGTGTGAAGGTGCCCAGAAGAACATTGTTCCCTTTCCCTTTTCTATTAATTTCTGCCACATATTTATTATACCTCTCGGAAGTGAAGTTGTCAGTTTTTTTGTTTTCGGTGGCTAGAATTGATCTCATTGAGTCAGTTGCCACGGCCAATTGTTGCTCTCAGTTGTCTCAAAGTACGTTAGGGCTTCTCTCATTGCAACCAACTCTCCACTAAACAGAGAAGTTTTCAGGAAGTTATAAGAACTTTTGAATTTGAGGATTTACAATTTGCGCATCCTACTTCATTGTTTATTTTTTAAGCATTTGTATACATCGCATTACAGTTTTTTGTGTTTTTCCATTATTTCAAGGAATACGTTTTGTGCTTCAATAGGGAGTAGAGCGTATCTTTTCGACAACCGGTCATCGAGTTCTCTATAACTAGCGAAATACGGGAGCGAAGTATCTCCATGAAGAGATTTTTATGTCTGGCATAACCAAAACAGTTTCTAATTTTATTTCAGAAATATTTCTACGAAATTCTTCTTCCATTTATTGCCTGATTCTTCTCTACAGAAGTTCGCACTAATAGATTTTTAATATTTAACATTGTACAGCTTGAATTATTAGGACTTATGAAAATCATCACAGTTCTTTTTATTGTCTTCATATAAACAATTAAATAATACAGAAAGGAGATGGTCCGGGGTTGCGGTCATAAATAGGCTAAATAGTGGTAAAACTATTTTATTAAAAGCCAATAAAATAACAATTCGGCTTACAATAAAATAGTTTTACCACTATTTAGCCTATTTATGACAGCAACCTCGGACCATTTCCTTCCTTTATAATGCAACGGTCAACTATTAAATATTCAATAAGAATTAAATAATACGTTTTTAGCAACCAATGCTTCAATATGCACTAGATGAGGTTTGGAAAAGTTATCACTTAGATAAAATAAGATTTATTCTGAACACTATTACAACACTCAGTTTTCATTAAATAATTGTTTGATTAATTGAACAATTTTTAAATTGCATAATCATAATATTTTATGTTTATATAAATATTACTAGCACTGGTAAAATAGGCCCAGATCAACCAAACAAAATAACAATATTTGTATATTTATGAAACTTGGTAATTCATTTATACTAAGTCGTGGTACCAGTAGGATTCGAAAGTATTTTACAGAATATGCTTTAAAATGTACTCTATGGGAAAATCGGCTAAGCAAAATAATATTCTTATTATAAAGATATGATATAATGAAAGTAATAGTGATAATAGTTAATAATCAAAATTCTATATTTTAAGAAACGGTCCTCTTCAAGTCTTCATCCCGTTTTTTGGAGGAAAAAAATCTGTAAACAGCTTCGGAAAAACCACATGACATGATAGGCAAAGCCAAATCACTCCCTAGACAAATCTATCATTAATTACTATAAGTTAACTTTTTGACAATCCAACAGATTATTAATACGATCGATGATAATCATGAATATAAAAGAGTAAGAAAATGAATTGTATCTTTAAAATGTACTCTATGGGCAGATCAGCTAAGCAAAATAATATTCTTATTATAAAGATATGATATAATAAAAGGTCCTCCTATACCACCCGGTACTTTACCATTCCCCACACCATATCCAACAGCTAATGTGATAACAGTTAATAATGAAAACTGTAATGTGGTATACGTAAATATAAATGCAGAACTGTTTGCACTAGGAATAGATATGCTATATACACATACACACAATCTTTGTTATGTTTACAACCGCATTAAACCAATAAAATATATTCATTTTGCTTTTAGGGTGTGCTGTGGACGCTTGCGGTGGCTTGCGCATGTGCTGCAAGTCAAGAGGAACCAAGAGAAGTCCCAATCATTAAACAGATCAACAGGGTCAATGACGACGGCACATACACTTTCGGTTATGAAGCAGCCGATGGGAGTTTCAAAATTGAGACTAGAGATGTTCTAGGAAATGTGAAAGGAATGTTTGGCTATATAGACGAGCAAGGACAGCTTAAAAGAGTATCGTACACCGCTAACAACGGTACAGGATTCCAAGCCACTGGTAATATTCCAGGTATAACGGACGGAGGAGTTACCAGACGTCCAGTCCTTGTATACAGAGGGATAAACAGACCAGTGACAGAACAAAATGATGAAGACGAAGCATCAACCACACCTTCATACGGTGATTACATTAACGGCAGAAGGGGTTACTTCACATCGACAACAGCAGATCCAACCACCCGACCACCAGTAAGAGTTTTAGTCACCAAAAGGCCTGTAATTGAAAATAGGAATCCAAACGTAATTAGAAGACAGCTAGATCGAGAAAGAGATGACTACTCGCCCAGAAGAATTCACTACCAGCCAGTGGGACCAGATCCAAGAGAAGTCTACAGAAATCTATTGCTCGAACAGAACAATCTGAAGCCAGACCCACCAAGGACAAGGTATTATACACCCATCGATCAGGAATATCCTGAAAGAACCATGCATGCTTCGCCGAGGTACGTTCCTCCTCCACCACCACCACCACCACCTCCAGTGCCAAGATACAGAGTGTACGATGAGCAATATCCAGTTCCTGATAGAAGATTTCCTGTCCCAGTACAAAGACCTTATGACGAATACTTACCACCTCCACCTGACTACGAAGCATTTAGGGCTGCCATGAACTATTTATTGCAATATCTTCAGTACATGCGACGGATGGATCCGTACCCACCGTATCCATATCCTGCCGATCCTTATAACCCAAGACCTAGATTGCCCTTTTACCCACCACCGAGATTGCCTCCAGTTGCTCCTGGTCCTCCTATACCACCCGGTCCTTTACCACTCCCCACACCATATCCAACAGCTAATGTCCCTTACATCAATCCGAACGTCCAATACTCAACAGGAAGGGAAAATGCACAGGAGGCTTTAGCAAGCTTGAAAGCTCGTATGGACCATTCAGACCAGTCTGACAGCGGCGATACACGGCCTCCTTCTTCAGCTCTTATCCGAATGTTGTTAGCAAGACCGAACGTCACCCAAAGACCTGCTATAAGGAGTGTTGAAATCCTCGGAACTGCGAAGTCAACTACATCGACTACAACTGAAAATTCTGATGTAATGGAAGCTTCTAGTTAAAATCCATTCTTAATAATTTGTATACTATTTATTACCATTATTTCCAACTGATTAATTATTTATATTTTTTTATACTTTAATTAGAGATAAGGATTTTTTGTACATTTTTATACACGAATACATTTTTTGTCATATCTGTTGTTAACCAGAACCTTATCCCAACCAATTTACAGTTTGATGAAAAAAATAATGCTTTAAAATACCATGTTTTTATGATTTAGTTGACTAGTAATTTAATCATACATTAACAATTATTTAAATATTTAGTTACTTGTTTCCTGAGTATACCCAGCCTATATATAGTCGGTACTCTTAATGAAAATAATTAATTAAGGTAAATTAAAGGTAAGGTAATTAATTGAAACTTGGCGGTTGAGCGTGATCCTGGCCCGATAACCTCTTTGTGTTGCCCAAAATCGGTCTTGGTATTGCGCTTTGCAAGACTAAGACCAAGGCCGGCTGACCGTTGCAAGACCAAGACCAAGACTGGTAAAAAAATAAATCGTTTTTGTGAATAAAAACTAAGCCAAATTATTACTAATATTTGAAAGTTTTAGTTAATATGTGTAAAGAATCAGTATAACCAATATACTCATCCGATTTTTCGTTCCGGATTAGTTAGGTTTCCCTTATCTGAAAAATTACAGTTAAATTTCTATACTAATAGGTTAATAGGTAACATCAAGACTGTTGCGAGACTCTTGCGCAAGACCAAGACCTAACCAATACTGAGTGCGCTAGACTATAAAGACTCGGCAGCACTACTCCTTGTACAACTGTTGGCCTTGAAATAGTACTTCCCAACAAAGTACCGAATCCGAAACCCTTCATGAGTTGTAGTGGTACAGATTTTTTTTTTCTTGTTTCAATTTCAAATACCCCTGCTTTCACCCTTGAAGAGCAGTATAAAAGGCTTTAGCCAACCTTCGGATTAATAAAAGATAACAAATACTATTCAAATTCTAGATATATCATCAATGAGGTAAGTAAATAGAGGAATTATTGTGTATATCTGTTAGGCAATTATAAATAAATGTACAACTAACAGCATAATAAAGGGATTCAAAGAACACTGTATAGCATATAGATTTTTATGATGGAAGTCCAACTAAAGCACTATTGGAGATTACAGGACAAACCTCATAATATAAAAGACTAAACAAAGTTTAAGATTTTAAACTATTAGACTAATTTAATGTTGGACAAATTTACCGCAAAGTAAATGTTTGATATAAGTAGTGTAGCCCAAAATCGTTCTTGGTCTTGCAGGCTTGGTCTCGGTCATGCACTTTTGCAAGACCAAGACCAAAACCACAAAAATTGTTGCAAGACCAAGTAAGTCAAAATGAGACTATTTTCAGATATAGTACGGTGCTTAAACTTTTTAACCATCTAATCTAAACAGCGTTGTTTTTTCTTGTTGAATTGTATATTTGAATATAGCTTTCCAAATAATAAAAAATTAACCTTTTTTTCACCCCTACCTCGCCATTTAGGTTATATAGGGGTTTTCACGGGCCAGGGAGAGAGTGATGAAAATTAATGCGAGACTCCTTCCCCCCGGGAAGCGGAATGCGAACTCATAATTATTTTCATGTCACCAACATCGGTTATCAGGTTGCTGGGCAACGCGCTCAGGTCTATGTTCCTGGCCCGGCACCTATGAAATTTCGAATTAAAACCTGTGCCAATATTTACTACCTAATATGCACTGATTTGAGCAGCAAAAATTACAATAAGTACCCGTCAGGGACCGGAGCTGTAAAGCTCGCAAAAGTGTCGGACTAGGGACATGATGGTCCGGCACATATAGAGTTTCGAGTTGAAACGTATGCCAATATGTAGTAGCTAATATGTACTAATTTGTACAGCAAAAATTACAATTAGTATCTTTCAGGGACCGAATATATAAAGCTCGCAAGACTGCCGGGTCAGGGACATGGTCAAATGGCATGCGGATTTACGAGTTGAAACTTATGCTAATTATTTGTAGCTATGGGTACTATTTATTATAGTGTACCAGAGATATGAAGCTCGTTAGGTAAGCTACATGGTACTTCATGGTCCGACACGAATGGAATTTCGAGTTGAAACACATGCCAATTATTCGTAGCTATCCGGTACTATATTGCACCAAAATATTATTATCTTTACCCTCAGGAACCTGAGATAAAACGCTGGTAAGGCAAACCACGTGGTACTTTTTATTCCTACTCCAATGGAATTTCTATTTGAAAAATATGAAAATAATTTTTAACTATCGTGCGCTATTTATTACCTCAAAAAGCAGAATTTGTATCCGTCAGGGACAGGACATATAAAGCTCGTTGGGTACGTCACATGGTACTTTGTGGGCCGACACGAATGGAATTTATAGTTGAAACCTATGCCAATTATTTGTAGCAATTTGGGGACGGGGTGGCCGAATGGGCTAAAGCGTGTGCACAGTACCGCTAGTTGTCTGGCAACCGAATAACACAGATTTGAGATGATTTAAAAAGTAAGAGTTCGCGTCCCGGTGCCTGAGGGGATTTTAAATTCCCCACCCTCACCTCCCGGCCCGGGAAAATCTCTTATAGCCTAAAAGGCGAGGTAGCGAAGAACAAATAAAAAAAAAAAAAAGAATTATTTGTAGCAATCCTGTACTATATTGTACCAAAATATCATTATCTGTACCCATCAGGAACCGGAGATAAAACTATCGTAAGGTAGAACATGTGGTACTTTGTGGTCCGACTCCACTGTAATTTCGAGTTGAAAACCAAGGGTGCCCGGAAGGGGATTTCATCAAACATTTTTAGGAGACATATTTCAAGGGATTTTTGAATTTTTGAGGGGGGAAAATTTCGACGGGGTTATGAATTTTCGGACTAGGGGACAAGGAGGAAACAGAATATGCCTTAGCAAGTGTAAATGTATATGATATATGATTTTTCTACTTCTACCTTAGCTTCTTCTGCTTTTAAGAAAAGGCAATAAAATATCTCGGCATCGACCTTGGGGAAAAGGTATCCCTGTTGAAACCTATGCCAATATGGTTTTATAATATCTCAATACTAAGAGGTTTTTCGCTATGGGGGGCCAACAAAATATCGTAGGAGGAGGGGGGAGGGAAGGTAGATTCATGTGCCATCGACCTTCGGGAGATGGGCACCTTTGTAATTAGGTTTGTATTTGATAACCATATGTAAGGATTTTTTTTTTTTTTTTTTTTTTTTTTTTTTTTTTTTTTTTTTTTTTTTTTTAGTATTACAACAATCTGTCAGTTGGATATTAGTTATAGTGAGGTAGGATTACAGTCACACCGTATGTACAGAAAATATAAAATAAATAGAAGCAAAATAATAATCAAAAGTATATATAATAAATAATAAAATAAAATAATCTAAAAATAAGAAAATTAAAACTAAGCAAAAAACACATGCATACCTATATACACTATATATATAAGTAGTAGTAATAATTATGTAAAATACTACAGGGAATAAAAGCTCGAACTGCAGTGGGATTTCCAAATCCTCTAAAAGTGAGCTTTCCAAACGTTTCCAATGCAAGAGCTAACGAGTATCGTTTCATAATGCATTATATTAACTAATTATTTCCTTACTATTGTATTTACTGTTATTTTATTAGATACTTGTTTTTTTTTGCTTTCATTTACCTGTATATGAAAGTAAAAGAATAAAGGGGAAAAGTATTGAGATCGTAAAAATGTTCAAATATCAGGTTTCATCGAAAATACATATTTTGAGGTCACCTGGTTGAAATAACCAAGTCCCGCAAAATGGTGTGCGTGAACCGCCTAACTCAAAAACGAAAAGACTTACGAAACTTAAATTGAGTATAAAATAACTCTCAATGACAGTCATTATAAAAAATCTGGTGCGCGCAACACGCAACTTTCACTTACCGCAAAACTTTGAATAGAAATTATTTTCTGGCCATATTGGGCTATTATAAAATTTTTGAATTGCATTTTTAACTGAGCTAAAGCTAAAAGATTACAGCTAACGAATGATAAATACTATTAGAATAACAAAAGTCCTATATTATATCACCGGTTGGTTACGGATTGTTCGATCCGTTGATTATAGATTGTATGACTATTAGTTATTGATCTGTTATTTTCCATTGCAAAGTTTACTAAAACGGAATTAAAAGATTTGCATTGTCTGTCATAGACAGGTCAAAAGTTGTCACACTGATTTAAGAGGATTCTGTTGCAATAACCCGAAGGGAAAATTTATCAAATTATTCACTAATTTAAGGTTAGTATAATGATTTTTCGGAATAACCCGACGATAGTTAGCTGTAATCTTTTAGCTTTAGCTCAGTTAAAAATGCAACTCAAAAATTTTATAATAGCCCAACATTGCCTGAAAATAATTTATATTCAAGTAGAGCGGTTAGTGAAAGTTGTGTGTTGCGCGCACCAGATTTTTGTTTAACCAGAATTATATTTTATTTTAACGTTTCTAGTTTTTCATTCATTTACTGTTTACATTCATAGTTTATTATTACGTGGCATGAAACCTCGTGGTATTGTTAGTTATTGTTACGTGGCATGTGATATAAAATCAACAAAAAATCGAGAATACTTAAAATATTTATTCAGTGCTTTAAGATCAAGTTCATTAAAAAAAAGGATCTCACTTTTCATTTTGAAGGATATCGTTCAGTAATTGAAGTCATCAAAATTAAAAAACCGGTGGAGATTTATCATGTCTTCATACCTTCGAATGGAAAGACTGAACTCATTAATCAATATTTTACTATTTTGAGCTCAAATACAGTGTCGGCCTTACACATTCGGCGAACCTGGTCAATTACGTCATCTCCCTTCCCTTAAAAAATTAAATGTATTTCTTAAGCTGTTTTATATAATGTAATGTTCGAATTTTAATTCATTCAGCATTTATCTAAAACAGTTACTTTATTGATAGGTTAAAATCCTGTAAAACTTATACCAATTATTTGTAGATTTCCTGTACTATATTGTACCAAAATATCATTATCTGTACCCATCAGGAACGGGAGATAAAACTTTCGTAAGGTAGAACATGTGGTACTTTGCGGTCCGACTCCACTGGAATTTCGAGTTGAAAACCAAGGGTGCCCGGAAGGGGATTTCATGGCGCCATCAAAAATTTTTAGGAGACATATTTCAACGGATTTTTGAGGGGAGCAAATTTCGACGGGGTTATGAATTTTCGGACTAAGGGACAAGGAGGAAACTGAATAGACCGTAGCAAGTGTAATAGTATATGATTTATGATTTTTCTAATTCTACCTTAGCTTCTTCTGCTTTTAAGATAAGGCAATAAAATACCTTAGGAGGGGTGGGTAGGTAGGTTCTTAGGGCATCGACCTTGGGGGAATGGGTATCCCTGTTAAAACCTATGCCAATATTTTCTTTTCAATTTTTATAACACAAATTGCAGTTTGTACCTGTCAGGGACGGGAGCTATAAATCTTGCAAAAGTACCTGGGACATCGTTAAACGACATACGGAATATCAGGTAAATATTGCCACTGATGTCGCTTAACTCGACTTAAGTGAAAAATTCTTAAAATTCCATCCTCTAAATTACTTTTAATTTGAATTATTTTGAATGATTAACAACCCGTCATTGTTAGCAAGAATAAAGAAAGACTAAATACAAACCTTTATTTAAGAATTTGATACTTAATTAAAGAAGAAAAAAAAAAAAATTATTTGGGTAGAAAATGAATTTCTGGAAATAATAGTCAGATGCTATACTTACAAAATATCGTTGGAAAGCAGAGGAATTTATAAAAAGTAACATGGCATACAATGCCGTAGAAGGTAAAAAAGAATGACGACAAAATCATAAATAATAAATTCTAAAAATATTGTTATTTATTTCCTCATGCCTAAAATGCCAATTTTCTTAACAATACTACAACTTCTGTTTATTGTCAAGCTTATGACATGCGTGGAAGAAGATATGAAGAAAAAAAAAATTAATATAAAAAGGAAACCACATGTTTCTAGGTAAATTAAATCAAATGTCCCCTAACTGAACGTAAATTTATAAAATTATATGTAAGTTTGAAAAAAACAATACTTTATCAAGAACATATTTTTTAAAAACTATCTCATTGTGATTGTGTGCATAATTGTGGCCCCGGCTTTAAATTTTAATAGGGAAAGGACGATGGATGAAAAAATAGCTGGAGTTTTTATTCTGTATTAAAATTCAACATAATTATTGTGAAACGAACAAATACAATATTGAGTGTTTAAAATCGATTTGTTTATATGTTTGTATAACTGTAGGGATTTTTGTTTTATTTTTTTTAAATTATTACATAGACTTGAAAAAATTTAAAAAAACAAACTTGAATAAATGACGTAACAAAGGGGAGAGGGTAGACGGCCTTCATAACAATTAGCACATTTCTAGAACTTTTTCAGCTAAAAGTAAATAATGTAAAAAAATATATATTTGAATTAAAAAAAAAAAAGACCCGATTACACAAATTGGGAAATTCTATTGACCCTATGATAATGTACTTCCATATCTACTTAAATAGCTTGGTAGATTGATACAGAAATTGACATCTACGAATATTTAAATTTGGTGTAATATAGTCGGGTGCCTTTCACTATACATTACGCCTTCTGGCAAATAGATTTCGTCCTATCTATCGGTGCAAGTAAATATCCGAAAGTCATGAGCTTTGTTCGGGAGTGGTAGACACCCGACAATTACGCCAAGTTTAAATATGATCAGATATTAATTTTTCAACCAATCTACCAAGATGTTTAAGCGAATGTGGAAGTAAATTCCTTTAGGGTGGATAGAATTTTCCAATCTCTGTAATCGGGTTTTTTTTTTTATTCAATTTCTTTTTATAATGTTGGTCAGTGGTTGACTGTAGTGTATAATTGAAGAGGAGGATGGGTGGGGTGACAAGTCAAAATAAAATTATTGGTTTAATTTTCAACTCGAAATTTGATTGGAATCGGACCACGAAGTACCACGTGGTCAACATGACGAGTGTTTTATCTCAGATTCCCAATGGGTATAGATAATGATAATTTGGTACAATATAGTACAGGATAGCTACAAATAATTAGTATAGGTTTCAACTTGAAATTCCATTCGTGTCGGGCCACGAAGTACCACGTGGCTTACCTAACGAAGTTTGTATCTAAATTGATGTAAATTGATACTACGGTCCCAGACGGGTACAGATTCTGATTTTTGAGGTAATAGTAAACGATAGCTACAATTTAGTGACATAAGTTGGACCAAAAAGTACCACGTGGTCTACATTACAAGTGCTTGATCTCTGGTTCCTGATGGGTATAGATTTGGGTACTATATTTTGGTACATCCTCAGCACTAAGAGGCATTTTTAAACTTAATATTGAAAACATTAAAAGCCGGAGACTAAGAAATGTGCTGCAAGAAACGGCACTGAACTAATGATACTGAATAAACATTTTGATTCCATAGAAAGTAAACATTGGAATCTAGAATCATTTCATTGAATTAAGGATTAAGGATTATTGTCCTCTATATTAACATTCCTAATCGAAAACAAACAAAAAGATTACCTATTTTTTAGATGAAAGCATGAAAAAATCAAGTGGGTGGAATTTTTTGCCTGTCAGTGTATAAGAGAAACAAGAGGACGGAATTGAATTAAATTGATACTACGATATTTTTTATCACTACCTACCTTTTTTTCCAACTTTGAGTCAAATTGAACGAGCCGTTCCTGGCTATGGAAATATTGGCAAATATTTAAGATAATGTATTTACGCATGCGCAAACGGAAGTGCTACAGGGAATTAGATAAAATTGATATGGGACCATCACGCCAACCCGCACAATCCCTGAAAATTTCGTGAAAATCGGGTAAACTGTAGTAGGTGATATGCCCGTTACATCGATTTGATTACAGACAGACGCCGAACCAAATTTTATCCTGGATGTCTGAGAAAGAAGGAAGATACGTTTAATACGAGATAAGTCAGGACGACTGCAACGCTGAAGTTCTTGGATAATGAAAGAAGCTATTATGATTATAACTATGAAAGAACCTCGAGTTTAACCGAGTTTACATTTTTTCCTCTGGACCTTTTTTGCATTAGTTAAATCAGAAACATGTGAAGCTATTTAATTTTCTGATATTTATAATCCGTTGACATTTTACTTAAACATGGTTTAAGACAAATGAAATCATTAAGATTTTTTAATTTCCGAATTTCTAGGTACATATATTAAATTTTAAAGTTCCAGGATTAGGGATGGATTATTTCGTTTTACACCAATCAACTTTCCTGAGAATGATATATTTCATTTCTCTTCCACTTCTCTCGTATTTATAAATAAAAAAATTATTATTCAGTTTTTTGAATAAACGTAATTAGTTTCCGAAAAAAAAACCAGGATGTAATAACTGGTTAATTAAATCATATATTTTCGATTCCGGACTTATTATAATTATATTGGAAATACCTAGGTCGTCCTTTTTGAGCTCAATTCGATTTTCAAAAAATTGCCTCCACGGGTTGGGCAATTGTTTAAATTTAATTTATATGTTGGAGGTGTAATTTTTTTGTAATTAGTTTCTTTCAAAATGTTGAACTAATAACCAATCACGTTGCCCTTAAACAGTTTTTAGAAATTGGTATTTTCTATTTATTGCTATTTTATCTTATTTTTTAATGCTGATTGACTGCGTCCTAGAAAACTTATAAACGATTGATAACTTTATAAATTTATTAATAACTGCTCTTTCTGACTATTTTTCATGCTTATAATTTAAATATCTCCTTCTCTAGATAACTAAAGATGATCGAAGATTTAACTAATCTAGTTTGCTTCAATGTAAAAGACAATGATTAATTATTAAGTGGACAATGAAAAAAAAACAAAAAATCTATTTTTACTTCTTCATATGAATACATAATCAAGATGATCATCCATTTCTTCCAATCAAAACATAATTTAATCTTACCTGGATGGAATGAGATTAACACATTAAATTACATAAAACACTGTGACTACTACAATTAATATCACTAACGTATGGAATCTAAAATAAACACTACTACAATTTTCTGAGAACGCCAATAACTTTTGGCGCCTCGATTGGCGCTACACCAGTGTTACCTAGTCGGCACAATAATTAATGGAATACGGTACTTTTTCTTCAAGCGACTATGTAGCTGGCCTTATATTATAGAAAGATTATTATTTACATTATTTCATGATTATTAATTAGATAATTTACTAAAGTATGTTCAACTTAAAACCAACAAAATGATTCTTCTCATCGGAGTATATAAAAAAAAATAAACCCTAAATTATTAAGAATTTATTTTGACATGATAAGCAACGCCTAGGGCCGCAGTTTCTGTGTGGTATCAATCATTTTAAATAAATTAATTTTTGTTTTCATTATACCTTAATTTAATTTCACATAAACTGACTTAAAGAATATCTCTGTATCTTCTACTGATTGGAACATAATGAACCATAAGAGCGGAAACAAGCATAGTATTCTATTTAAAATTCTATATCCTACAGTATTTATGAAAAGCAATTTCTTTTTTAAAGGGAAAAGTAACCAACATGATCCCTCAGTCAACATTACTGAGGAAAGCCGAAGATGTACAAAAACGTATGAGTGTACAAAAGCCGAAAGCAGCTAGCATATTTACTAATATTACCAAAAGTACAACACTACGAACGTTCAAACAATATAAACACTCTGATTTGAGGTTAAATACATATAAATTTAAATATTAAGTCAGGGCTTTTTGATGTAATTTAAATAGCATAATAAGGCTTTGACCGATAGTAGATTGTAAACAATCCAGAGATGAAAGTGGTTCAGTTGATAACGTAGTTGGAGGTTCCCTTACTGCTACAACGACCTTCTGACCCACTTGTCATGGCTGTTCTTGTGGAAAAAAAGAAAAGAGAAGTGTGGTTCCTCTTTATCTCCTCAGTTCAGTTTCATAAAGGATATGTGGTGGAGTCGTGGTGTACTTAAGCATTTGCCCCTCCCGTTGGGTAATTGTAATATTAAATATATTTTACATTAATTATACTTCAGGAAGTTGAAACTTATAAATTTATAATTTTTGTCTGAGAACATTGGTAATTAGGATGTTTTCTCTGTTCCAATACTATCAATTTTAATTATATTTATTTTGTACAATTATATAAACCATCATCAAGTAATTAATAGTACCAGTTATTAATAATTGTTAGTGCTTCTAGCTCTTTCAACATTGTAACCATTAATAAGGATTCATAAGATCATGTAAACCTGGTTATATTAGAAAATTTAATAATGAACTTATTTTGCATGAATAAATCAGTATTATAATTTTTAGTTATATCTACCATGTCATTGTTGACAGATAAACTGTCATGATCACTTAATGAACCTGAAAGCCTTTTTTATTCTTTTTTTATACCAATATTTTTAAAACTTCGAAATGTAGTTATTAAACTCATATCTTCATAAAAATAAAGTCTGAATAATTTTGAATGATACAAATTGATTCATTTTTAAAAACATAAAAAGTGGATATAAAGCTTCAGATGTTTTGGATTTTTTAATAATGAATTATTAATTATGAATTATTTTTAAAAAGTATTATTATTGTATTTTCAATTTAGTATAATTAGTTTTTCTAATTTGTTAATTCCACTGATCAATATTTTCTGATTAATCTTGCATAATGATGATAAATAATAATTATGACTTTCATGTAGGATCAAAATAATCTCCAAATAAAATGTTATTAGCTGCTTTTGCCCTCCTTATGAAATAAATAAATGTTTCAGGCAATTTATATACATAATAGACATAATATATATGTCAGCTTATTCCGTCAACTTTTTTTTATTTTTTTATAGAACATAGACTGTTATTCATTAATAAAACCAATTTCATAAATATGTAACCTGTGTTGTCAATTCCTCATATTGGTCATCTATTTATAATGTAAGTTTAAAGCATCCATTTTTCAGGTCAATATGCTCCAGCATTCATGGATATAATGAGTGACTTCACTATAGATTCTACATTTATAAGATTGTATTATCCATCATCGACACCTAATACTCAGGTAATTGCTATTAAAAAAAATAATATCAATTTCATAATCTTTTAATTGTTCTCTCATTTACTTTTACAAACCTAGATAACTCTGATTATGTTTCCTGATAATTAATGAAATAGTTTCTCTAACCATAATGCAAAAATTATTTAATATATTTTTTTTTTCTCAGAATGATGCTACAAAATGGACCAAGTGGTCGCCTAATGAATATTATTTACAAAGTATGGCTCATCTCGTTAGTCATTGGGGAACTGTTTTAAAAGCTGTTTTATGGCTTTATGGAGGTTGGTGAAGTAAATATCAATTGTTCTATAGCTGGCCCACTATAATGTGGCACTAAGTCGAATCTAACTTTGTTTTTGGTTTTACCCTACTCCAATTTTATTTTTTTAAAAATTGAAGGCATATACTACAAGAAGATAGTGCGATCTTGTAATATATGAATATATTTGTGTAAAAAATAAAATAAAATCAGAGAGTAATGGAAAAAAATAAACAATAGTTTCAACTAAGTGTGTGCTGATTGGCTGCTATCTACTTGTGCACCAGCTGTAGTTTTTGCACGGAAACCATTTAAATATCTTATTTAATATAATTTTGAATTGATTTTTATTACCAATTCACTAAAAACTATCAATCTAAATGTAGATAACACAATTATTTTTTTAATTTACTAGGGGAGTGTCCCCTGTTAAAAATTATACAAATTAAAAAGGTGTATGAAAGACAGACATTTTTGAAGATGAAAATATTTGAAAACATAGATTGGAAGAGTTAAAATTTTTTTATGGGATTAGAAAGCAGTATCCGTACACCCGCATGGGGGCAGTGCTCTGCGTGTTTAAATATGTTATGTTTAAAATAAAATATCGTTTAGTAAAAACTTTTTTATTATAATAGATAGATGACAATTATATAGAATTTTTCTTTAGTGATTATTTTTATTATGTAATGTAAATGAGATGTTTGCTTAGGAGAACCAAATGTACCAGCAATGTGGGAGGCAGAGCTTATGCAATCCAACAGTAAAATACCTGTCATCATGTTCTCTCACGGTTTTGGTGCTACCCGTTTTCTCTCTTCAACTGTTGCTATTGAGTTGGCCTCCAGGGGATTTATTGTTGCATCAATTGAGCATAAGTTTGTTGATATATTTTTATAAGATTTTATTTTTTGCTTTGTAGTGCATATTTTAATGATTTAACTTTCTTTGTTTTTCAATAATAGGAATTAATTTTCAGAGATTCTTCGGCTTGTGCTACCTATTATTATGAATCAGCAGAAAAATTTGAAAAGGATGAAAAAACTTGGATTCCTCATGAGAAAATGAAGTTCGGCCCAGATCATTATAAAATTAGAAATACTCAAGTAAGAATTGTTAATTAAATATTTCATTATGCTTGTTTATTTTTATTAATTTTTTTTTTTTTGTAATTCCTTCCTGAAAGAGTGTAGTTAAACAGGTAGAGGAAGGAGAGGCAAGTCCAACCTTCTGACACTTCATGTCTACTCTAAATAAATATATACTGCTTTATAACAGGGCAGTTTATAAACCGGTGACAGGTTATAAATCTGCAGTGGTATCTGAGTACTAAGCTGATTAATTGGAGTTCTATTTTTATTTAGGCCTTCCAGCCACTTCGTTCTAGAAGGAGAGAATTTTATTATAATTTGCATGGCTGGTCTGAGCCCAGCATATTGCTTATGTGCTCCATGTACAGTAAGGATTTCTGTGCTCTGATTATTCTTTTCTATGTTTTGTAGACGCGCAAACAAAAGTACAACAATTTTTTTTAGGTATACTCACAGCTTGCTCTTCTTTCGTTACGTTTAGCCATTATCTTCTGCCCCTGTTCTGTTCAGCGGACTTCTTGAAGCACCTTCTCTTATTTTCAAGAAGTTTGTTAGTCCTATAATTGTCTTCAACCTGCACAAGAAATCATTGAAATACAATTAGTTTTCCTTACTTACTAATGGAAAGTTCTTTCTGTCAAAACAATTGGTCTGTTTCCATCAACAGTTTGGCCCCGTATGCCTCATAGGCTGAACAATGAATGCGCTTGGAGGTCTCTGATCGGTGGACTCAGCAGTTAGCAAAGTGGATTGATTAACTTCTCATATTGAAAGAACTTTTCTCGGAAGTCCCCATACCTTATGAATAGTTGGGAAACTGACTAATCAGATTTGGCTCATTTCGCTGTTAACTGGATACCAATAGTAGAAAAATATTTCCTCAGGATAGTTCCTTTAAGTTTCTTTAACCACCTTCGGTTCTATTGTCATGAGTGTACTCTTGCAGGATTTTCTATCCTGAGGAATTGTTGATCGATTCTCACATTGAGGTTCTCTTGTGGCTCCACTAAAACTTCCCTTGTCATCTGGTGCCAGAGCACTTTTTTCTGCAACAGAAGGTCAAGAGTTACTCCTCCTGCAAGGACTGTCTGTACTAAATAGTTTTCCATTTCTTAAAACCAAAATTTAGATTTTATGGAATATATACAGCTGACTACTGTGAATATTTGTTTTAATTGAATTATCCTGTTGTTATTAGCTAGTTATAATATAAATGAACCAATAATTATTTATTGCATTAACAGTTACTTGTTACCATTTAATATTACCTCTATTAATACTGATATTTTTTTTACATCAGTTGCGTAGGAGAGCCAATGAAATCATTAGGTTGATTGATCTTCTTTACAAAATCAACTCAGGTGAAGCATCTAACATATTGAAGTCATCTATCGATTTGAGTTGTTTCAAGGTATGGTCAATTTTTAATCAGCAATATGCAATAGACAATACAAAAAATAAATAAATAAATAATTTTAAAAACTATGCAAATAACCTTATTAATCCTAAGATGAATGTTCTTGCATTTCTTCTTAATTAAGAACATTAATGGTTTACTAAGAAAGTTAATGTCTTAAAATATTGCAAGTAAACTTGGTGTAATAGTCATTTGCCTTCCTCTCCTGAATGAAACTCAATGTACCAATATACATGACTATAATAAGGCCTATTTGGACTTACGGGATCGAGCTTTGGGGCTCTACTAAACCATCAAATTCCTCTCGTATCCAATCCCTACAATCCAGAATCCTTCATAAAATCCTCAAGGTTCCCTACTTTTTCACAAATGAAATCATCCATAATGACCTTAATGTACCATATGTTTCCGATTTAGCTCAATTCAGATACCTATCCTTCCATAATAAACTTCTGAACCATCCAAACACTCCTGTTTGCAACCTTGCTCACTCTTCTATTCCAGATAATCCTCCGAGGCGTTTGAAAAGAAGATGGCCTCTGGACCTTCTAATATAGATATAAAATTGGAGTGCTACCAATGGGTAGTTTCTCTTCATCTTGTACATGTCAAGTTACTCATTTCATATTTACTAGTTGTATTTATCATTATACAGTTGTAAATTTCAATACTAAAAATTAAAAAAAAAATTGTATCTGTTTATTTACTTTACTGGGAAATGATAGGATAAAGCTTTCCTCCCACCAAAAGTAAAGGAATAAATTCTTAAAGAAAAACATTCTTAGAGAATGATCAAAGAATGATTTAAAACAAAATACTTAAAATCATTATATAAACTTTAGGTACAATTTGACACTGAATAGTATTTTCATGATTTATAAGATTAATCTAGGCATTTTTCTAGGATCGCCTTGATTTATCTTCTCTTTCCATGATGGGTCACTCCTTTGGAGGTGCAACTTCAATGTTAGCGATGTCATTGGATGATAGAATAAAGTAAGACAGATTTAATACTATCTTATTAGTTAATCTAGGTCTTTCTTTCTTATTTTTATTAAATTTAATATTTTAAGAAATGCTGTTGCCCTTCAGCCTAGGTCACTAATATATTATCTACTACTGGACACTAACATATTAGGTTTTCCGTTAAATAGTGATCTTTACACAAATAACTGTTTAAAGAATATAGTTAATTTTTATATCTGTTTACCATTCTGTTTTCATAGAGAATATATCTTGATGATATCAAATTTTCTAATTTATTTTAGTAGTTACATTGTAGACTATTCATTATGCAGAATATTATCATATTTAAAATATCCTTTAATACAATTTATACTTGCTTTTGATATTATTAACAGTTTTCCTAATTACAGATGTGGAATAATCCTTGATGGTTGGATGTTCCCTCTAAAAGAAGATAACCTTACTATCAAACAACCATTAATATTTATAAACACCCAGACATTTCACATTGAAAGTAATATCAACGTTATTTGCAAATATTTGAACAAAAATCCTGCTTATACCCCAAGGGAGATCTATACCATCAAGTAAGTTGTTTTATATATATATATATATATATTTTTTTTTTTCTTTATTTTTCACCAATTCAGGTTATCTAATTTTAATTTGATAGTTGTCAATTTTTTTAACAACTTTTCTCAATACTTATGACAAATAAGTATTGTAAGGACAAAGAATTTAGATAAAAATATCATAATAATTTTTGTTTTTGTTTTGTTTTTATATCTGCAAAAATGCCACAGTTAGAGTACGTAGGATGCTCTAATAATGACTCACACTAGGCAGCCATATGTATTGCGCTATAACTAATAGAACTAGTTGTAATGATCAAATTCATATCACATTTTCCGATCATTTAGAGGTATTAGCAAAGAAAACGGGTATATTCTCTTTATTTGAAAAAAGTAATTGTTCAAACTATGTTAAAAAAAAAAGTTATGTTAAAATACAATATAGTGAAATAATGATGTTTTTCTCTCTTTCAGGCACACCACCCATGAATCTCAAACTGATACACCCCATATACTTGGATATTGGCTTAATTGGTTCATGCCAAAGCTGGATCCTGAGGAAGGAACAAACATCAATAACCACATGATCTTGCGCTTCCTCCATAAAAATATAGGTTGATTAAATGTTATTTCTTTGTTGCTTGCTTTTTCTTTTTAATTATTGAAAGCATTATTATTTCTTTATATTTCTTAATAAATTTCATTATTCTTTTTTATACTACTGTTATATTTAAAACACTGAGTGGAAATACTTTTCTGATCTTCATAAGATACACTAGTACTATTGGCACCTTTTTATAGGTTTCTTCAATTTCTGTTGTGTTTTAAGTATAAGATCCCCTAAAGAACTACTCTACTATTGATTTCCTCCAACTTTGCCTAAACATTTCCATCGAAACCAACTGCAATAGTTCTCAGTTTTATGCCAGTACTAACTTAACGACCACTGTTTTTTACTAGAAATATTTTTTAAGATCTGATCAAGCACCTTTGTTATGTCAGAAGCAGTAACCTCTGAGTAGTAGCATCTGGTAGTAGCATTCTCAACGTCTTCTCTGTCAATGCATATCAGATTCTCATGTTTACTTCTGTGGCTAAATACAGACCGGTTCTTTGGCCAGAACTAGTTATTATAAAGTGAAAATATCCTTGACTGGAATCTTTGTTATTCTTCCTTTTATTTCAATCATATTTCTGACATTAGTATTGAATAATAAATTAATTGATATTAAAATGTTTAAATTGAGAGAACTAGAATAAAATTGTAATGCTGCACAACTGTATTGAGTTGCTAACTGACAGAGCATACTAATCTATCTGATTGACAATATTTAACAATTCAGCTTGATACACTTTGTATATAAAAATGTCATTTGTTGTTTCCTTCCTTTTTTTCATCCTCATTCTTCTCAATTATGTCACACGGATCCATAAAACAATGACCTGATTTAATAGAGGTAATGTTACAGGATTCCCAGTAAGTCCAAAATAATGGACTCCACCATACTCAGTATCTCATTTCTTTTAACGTCTAGCTTTTCCAAAAAACTAGGTGTTGAAAGAGGAATTGCCCCTCTACTTCCAAACTGAAGTCCTCATACCAAAAAATTTCTCTCTTTATATTTCTCTTTCAGATATGGGATGCATTTTTTATGTATTTGTGGAAAGAAATGTGATTTCCTATCCAGTCATCCTGTTTTCTGGAAAAACAATTATGTTTATTTCAATATATCCTATATCACAGAAAAACAAGAAATAAAAGCTTTGTAACAGTTAATTGTAGTCATTTTTGTAGAAAAAAGGGTACTTTAGGTTGACTGGATAGGAAATCACATCATTTCTTTACATAACTTGAGGTGAATCTCAAGTTTTCCTAATAAATCTCAAATTAATTAATAAGAAATTGAAGCATATTAAATGAAGAAGTTTTTGTTAAAGTGGGGTAAATGTAGTACAGTTAAAAGACTATTAAGTAAAATCACAAATAATTTATTGCTTTTTTTAAACGAAATTAGCTGTGTTTTTCTGCCCAATAGTTCTTTTTAAATATTTTTAACAATGAAAAGCTCTACTTTTGTTTGAAGCAAATTTTGTGAAATTTACTATGGAGTTATAATTAGTTACTTAAATAAAATATTTTGTATGTTCTCGCCCCTTCTATTCAACAAAAAACATGACTCACTTAAAAAAATGAAATTCTTAAATTTCCTACTTTTCTGCTTTAAATTGGGCAATTGTTTATAGGAACTTTTTTTATAGATCTTGATGTCTACTATCAACCTTTTAAATATTTCTCTCTACTTACGGGGCACCCTTTATAGGTTGGTTAATTATCTTTTGAAATTATATTATATTCTTAATCATGGTTGTAAAATTAATTGCTATTTTAATTTTAATCAGTAATTATTAAATACTGATTCCAAACATTCAAATTTGGGTATATTTATAATGATTTTCATGAGACTAGAAAAATATCAATAACTGGGCAATAATTATTAAAAAAAAAAAATGATTTTTTTCTGATTTTTACTTAAGACTGCTCTGATAATTTAGAGTAACAGATATTTTATTAGCTATCTTGCTTGTTTACTTTTGACAATTTATTTGGGTAGTTTCAAAACTACTTTTTAAAGATATATATAGCAATGGAATATAAGTCCTGTTACTTAAACTTTAGCATATTCCATTATAATATTCATATTTTTCTTCTATTTTTAGGTTTTCCTACTGATGTTACTGAAAGTGAAGATTATCTTAAAGAAGAGGCTGAAAAGTTTGTGGAAGGAACAATTATTTATGCACATATGCCAAAAAGAAAATTGTGATGTAATAATATTTTCTTATTTGGTGAAAAAACCGTTCTTCGACTTATTACTATTTATGAATTGCTTCCCGTTTTGAGGGAAATTCGAGTGGGATTATACCATAAAAAAAAACTATAAGTTAACAGAGGGTTCAAATAGTGATATGGGTAAACAACTTAAGAAAGGCACTTTCAGTGTCTATGTAATCTTTTGTTATTGACATAAGAACCAAGTTAGATTGAAAAAATGTAAAATACATCTTAAAAAAAAAAAAAAATCAAAATGGTATATTTTACTAGATTTGAGCTCAAATCTGAAAATCTTGAGCCCTCCCCTTAATTTGTTTGCACATTTTCATGTGATCTGATTAATTTTTCATTATTTTGCATCTTGGCTTGTTTATACTTAGTTTTGTACTAAAATAGTCAACTTAGAAGTTGAAGATAGTTCAAGTAAAAGAGGTTGGTCGATTTTTAATTAATACACGTTAATTAACTTTACCTTAAAATATTTAAATTACTTTTATCCTTTGTCTATAAAATTTTTTAATTAAAAATAATAGATATGCATAGTTTAACTCACATTAAATGGATGATATCTTAGGTATACAAATTATTTAATTTTTAAATGAACATGAAATTGTCAAAATAAAAGCATTACTGAGGTGAAATAGACTGATTTTGTTTTCATTAAAATAATAAGGGTGTATAAAAAAAAAAAAAAAAAAAAAAAAAAAGACCGTTTTTTAACCAAATATTTGTATTATTATTTCTTTGATCTACTGTCATTATCCATCTGCTAGGCAATTGCTTGATCCCTCACCGATACCGTTCTTTGGGATAACTGTCAAAGAACTTTTGGACCAAAATTTCAACTTCCACAAAATTATCACAAAAGATAGCATAGCCACTTCCCAGGATTTTTTATACATTTTCAAATGTTAAACTTTTCAGATTAAATAAGCTGTAAGTTAATTGGTGTTGATTGTAATTCCAAATCAAAATTATTTGGTTCTCTGGTCCTACAAAATTCAGAGGTTTCCATGTTTAGTTTAGTTTTGATTAAAAGAAATAATGAGTTGACTACATTAAATTGTGTTAAGGGATGTAAAAAGTTCGAATTAACCTTGACTAAAATGAGCATGGTTAAATGCCATAAAATCAGTAGCTGTCTGTTCTATTTCAAAGATGAATTTTTCTTATCAATCATACCATTCAATGCTAATTCTGGCCTAGATTTATCTAGGTGTCTATCTCATTGATACCTAAGTACCTGAAAATATCCAAACATGGAAAAGTAAATATATACTTATTTATTGAAATTATTAAACTTCTGATGTAATACCTTCATTATTAAATCTCAGCGATATTTTATTATTAGTTACTGTATCCACTGTGGTACTATATGGTCATTTTATTTTAACCCTTCATCTTGCAACAGCTCATTTTGAAAATTCTGGACACATAGACTAACTGGGATCGATGTGTACAGATTCTATAATTTTACTTTAACCTATTTATAAAATGTATAGTAAGGAAAAGTATTGTGATAAGGACAGGTCGGTGATCGCCGAGGAGGTCCTGAGAATCATTATCTCATATTTTTCTAGTTCGGAAAATGTTTTTTGCATCTCCGATGATTCTTAAAAATAATTACTTTGTATTTTTTCATTTCAGCATATGTTTGGGGCCCCACCGAAGAGCCCTTAAAATATTTGGTCACCAAAATAATTGTTTTGTTTTTCTTATTTCCAAAGTATGTTTGAAAGTTTGTTTGGACCACCCCTAAGAGCAGTCTTATTTTACATAACTGCGATATATTCGTAAGCCCTAGAGAGAAATCCAGAAATAATTGTTTTGTATTTTTTTATTTACTTAATATGTTTGTAATACTTAGAATCTTGGAAAATGGAGGTCGAGCTAGACCACTTCAACATAGATACACTTAGAAGCCGGTGAACTGATGGAAATATCACAAATGGCTGAGGTGAATGAGCTGTATTTGGTTACAGACAAAAGAAATTGCAACGGATGGTCTTAAATTTCATACAAGTGAAGACTGAGATAGCCTACATGTGAATTCTTTCACGCTACAGTGTATGTCGAAAAAAAGCCTTAATCATGATGCAACTGGATCTATAATAGGAGAGAAAATCCAGAAATAATACAGAGCTCATCTGAAGGCCTCAGCGGACGAAAATGGTTGAAATTAAATTTGTCAAGACAAAGTCTTCCATTAATGCGGGGCATGGAATGATATTTGTTGCAAATGTTCGACATTTTACAAACCCATCTCTAAAAAAAATCGGAACAGTTGATTCTGACTACACCCCTGACCTAACTAAAATAAGCCTACGACATTCCAGTGCCTATAGACATCCTCTAGGGTAACCTAAACTTAAACCATCACATTCCTATACCACGAATTTAGAATGGATTGTCAAAACCAAGATAATCTTAATTTCAATTGGAGGTGTAGAATAAAAATCTGATTCGCCCAACACACGACTTTCTACTTTAAATAGCAATTATTTTATGACAATGTTGAGCAATTATAAAATTTTTGAATTGGACTTTAATTTAAAGTTTTCAACTAACGAATCATTAACACCGCTAAAATTACGAAAACCCTATTAGTTATATCAACGGTAGACAATAAAAACCTCGGTACTCCATCTGTTTTGTAAACCACATAACTCCAGTCTCTGAACAACAATCTCTGAGAGATTTGAAAATATATCTCTATATTCAACCTATAAATGATTATGGATTCTACGCCTATTAGTTTCTAAACTGTTATTTTCCATTGTAAAGTTTACTACAAGAAATTACGAAATTTTCATTGCCTGCCATAGATAGGTCAAAAATGTTTACACTAATAGCGAATAATGTATGGATTCCACAAAGGAAAAATTCATTAAATTATTCATTAATTTAATTTTTCAAAAGGTTACACGACGATTTTTTGGAATAAACCGATGTTAATACCTAATTATTTAAATATAATATCATATTTAGAATTATTAAAATACAGTAAATGTATTTAAGATGATAAACATATACTTTATACATCCATGCAATAGCTTTATATTTCACTTTTTCTTTCACATTAGTACTATGAAATAGTTTTTTATCAATACCATTGCCTTAATTAGGTGGCTTTTAAATACTTTTTCCAAACTTAAAAACGTTTACATTTAGTTTGTCAATTTCTTATAATTTCCTTTAAAACGTATCGAAAATTATTATTTATAATTTTCATCACTCTCCGTTACTTTCTATATTTGATATTGTTTTTTTCTAAAATTCTCCGTTTTCTAATGATATATCATTTTCGACCTCATTACACATTTTCCTTTTTTTTTCTCCATTTTTCAATTATTAAATTCTTTCAAAAGTTATATTTAGCATTTTTTTGGTAACTGTTAATAATGAGAGATGGTTAATTATATATATATATATATATATATATATATATATATATAACTAAAATAAAGATTTTGTCTATATATTGAATAGAATCAATCCGTTTTATGATATCTTTCCATTTCATACATTGTAGACACCAAATCCACTTTTAAAAAAATTTTTGTCTGTCTGTATGTCCGTATTGCAACGAAATTTTGTCAGGTGTAAGCTCAGCAATGGCTTATTGTAGACTTTTGAAATTTTGGCATTATATTAAGGTTTACTTGACTTAAAACATAGGTTTTAAATGCAAACAAAATATTGAATAGCACCAGAGTTATGAATTTTTGAGTAATTTGTCTAAAGAATTCATGTTAGGTAAAGTATAAATGTTAATAATAAACATATGTGTATAGGTTAAAGAACATCTACATAAATAAAACAAAGGTTTTGTCTGCATATTGAATAGAATCAAGGCGTTTCATGATATCTTTACGTTTTATACATTACAGACACCAAATCCACTTTTAAAACATTTTTTTGTCTGTCTGTCCGCATTGCAACAAAATTTTGTCAGGGGTAAGCTCAGCAATGGCTTATTGTAGACTTTTGAAATTTTGACATTATATTAAGGTTTACTTGACTTAAAACATAGGTTTTAAATGCAAACAAAATATTGAATAGCACCAGAGTTATGAATTCTTGGATAATTTGTCTACAGTGTTAGGCAGTTACTTCCATTCTCATCCCAACCTACTCTACCGGGAGCGATATTTAACAGTTGTACTATTCAACTGATGGAAAAAATTATCACAACTCAACGGGAAAAATCCGAAATACCAAACATCTGTAAGGCATTGCCGCTTAAAACACTCATTTTTCAACTTTGTCCGATCATCCCGTCCAAGGTGTCATTCTATTCAACTTCCGGAGCCTAACAGATGTATACATTTTTAGGATTAGCTGGAAATCAGAAGAAAATCTTCTAAAAATTGAAATTACCTATCCCCCTCATCCAATGTTATGGAATTAACCTCTCCTTCATGATACAAAAAGATTCTCAAGTTTTAACTATACACCCGTTAACGAAGGGTACATCAGCTAGTTTAAAATAAACTAAATCAAACGTACTTTAGAGAAAGACATGTTGAACATTTAAGCACTGTAAAGTGGCACCAATGGGTATACGATCTAAATGATATTAAATACTACTTAATTATACAATGATACACCGAGTTAAATCAAAATCCTTGGAGCCGTTTTTTAGAAAATTGTAAAAATGTGTATAACCGTTCATATAAAGTGCCAATTGGAAACCTTGCCCAATCTTTCTTGCAGTGTGCTAAGGCACAATTCTTTCATACTTCCTTATCACAAACCTTAGATCCTAAGTCCAGATGGAAAATCCTCAAAAATCTCTCCGAGGTAAAATCAAAAACTTGCACCTCCTACCCTGTTTCTTCAAATCAACTGAATTCCCACTTTGCCGATCCTGATTCATTACCACTTTCCTCCTCATAATGTATTTCTAAAGCTTCCTTTGACCATAAACATTTTTATTTTACAAATATTTTACCAGAAGACCTACTTTCCTCTGTCCTAAAATCCAGAACAAACGACTATGGCCCGGACCTAATTCCTGTGAAGTGAATCAAATTATGTCTTCCTGTCCTACTGCACATGTACAATTTTTCCTTACAAAATTCCAGTTTCCCATCACTTTCGAAAAAAGTTATTGTCCGTCCAATGAGCCAAGTTCCGGTTCACTCCAAAGTTTCCGGTTTCAGACCCATCTCCATTCTCTCCAATCTTTCAAAGCCTCTTGAAAGAATAGTCCACTCGAAGCTTAATATCTTCCTTGAGCAAAAAGCTCTACTCAATCCCTTCCAGTCTGGTTTCCGATCCCAGTTATCCACCCAATCCGCTTTGCTGAAAATTTCTCAGGACCTTCATTTCTTTATAGACAAACAGACAATCTATATCCTAGTCCTCTTTGATTTTCCAAAAGCTTTCAATTCCGTTAATCACGAAATCCAAAGCTTTCCAAATCAAATAGTGCTCTAAAATGGTTCCATTCTTTTTTGTATCAAAGATCCCAAACAGTCATCATTCCTAATAAAACTGTCCCCTCTTACTAACTCCTGGTGTTCTTCAGGGATATTCACCCTCTCCAATTCTTTTCTCCATCTACACTAATGACCTTCCTGATTCCATCCATCATTCACAATACCATTTATGTCCGGACGATCTCCAAATCTTCCTTTCCTTCCATCCTACCGAGATGCTTGAGGCAATCCGAAGG